CTAGAGAACAGACCAAAAATATTGACAAGTATTTAGTACTTTTTTGTATGAGCAAGAAAAAAAATTTTCAGCATGAGAACGTCCCATCGCCATTAATAATAAATGCTACTAGCTTATAAAACATACAGTAATAGTACAAGACATCTGATCCAAAAAAATTTAAGGCTTAGGAGAAGCACTATATCCTTAACCCTTGTCCTGTGCTTAAAGTCATTTACCTAATTTGGTTTTCCCGTTCAAAAATGACCGGCATTTAAAAAATTGCTTGTGAATCTCTCCTTATGCAATATTATCACCAATCTTGGATTCAATCCTTTTGTCAACTTGTTTTCTTTCAGTAAGCAAAGGTTTTGTATTTTGTTTTTGAACTGATTAATGGTAGTACCACAATTTTTGAGAGAAAAAAAGCATTATTTGTGGACAATTTTGGCAATGTTCTACAATCTATCCTACAATCTATCAGTACCAAAAAGAATTACAAACTTGTGCTAATTGAAATAAAATACATTTTTGTAGGTAATTTTTTTTTACCACAAGTGCAAATAGGTGGGGGGGGGGGGGGAAATAAAAAAAATATAGATTTTCTGGGAAGTTGTTATACCCTTTAGGCTTAAGTCCTAAGTGTAGGCTTAAGACTAAGTGTAAATAGAGACTATTTACACTAAGTGAAAATAGCATATTTTCTTAGTGATAGATGCTACTTACACTACATGCAAATAGCTATAGATTCTATTTACACTGTTAAAATAGCAGGATTTTCTGCTATTTATACTACTTATTGCAAATAGTGGCAATTATCTACACCTCAGTATTGTACAGTAGTACATTATAAAACAGTATGCAATAACATATTGAGTGTAAATTATAATTTTAATTAAAATTATTAAATGGTTGCCACCTTATAGGGACAATAAAACCCTCCCTACACCTACCCGATAATTCATTTTCACCTTTTTGATTATTTCCTTCATTTTTATTGAAAATAAATGCCTTACCGATGTGATATGAGATTTGAAAAGGGAGAAAAAAAAAGAAAAAAAAAAGATCGATGTTCAACGAGGCAGATTGGAACCTGGGTCGATCGCGTCAAAAATGACTATGGCATAACGCACTTTACCATCTACACCACTGTAGCTGTTGTTAATCAATCAATATTAACTAGACTTTTTGGGAACAAAATCCTCTCTGGGTCAAAATGACCGAAACACAACATGAGGATGTTGTTGCTTGTTATGTCATGGCTGGTTCAGACAAAAATGGTTATATCTAGTCACATTGTGTTTGGTTAAGACAGTGTTATTGTCTTTTTCATGACTTACTGAAACCAGGACAAATAGAACCCTCTGGTTTTTTACAACAAAAGACATCCTGCAATCAGCGCTCCAGATCTCAGTTGTGTGAAGGCTACTTGCTATTTAAAACAAGAACACACTCTTCAGACTGTGCCGCCCTGACTTCTGTTTCAATAGGTCATACACAAGAACCCCTGTCAAATCATTTAATGGAGGCTTTATTGGTTCAGATCTGTTATTTTTTCTTCAGGTTTATATTAAAAGAGTTGAGAGAGCGACTCTACCTGAGAGAGGGGTCGGGACAGTCTGTGACTCTGTATGCTCTTCTCCTCTGAAGACCAGGAATGGAGCTGGAGGCTGAAAAATAAAGAAATATTTAGCTTTAATAAGTGCAGATCATGGGACATTTCTGAACTGGTGTTGAATTCAAGCAAGTTTTGAGAACAGAAATGGGTTGCAGTTACATGAACCTGAGCCATACAGTTCGATTCAGATGGAAAGTAGAAATGGACCAAGAAACTCAACAGAAGTAAACATAAGAATGTGAAACTAGACAGATGTGTCAAGAGGAAAAGTCATACATTATGAGCCACAGGCACTTAGCTTAGAGAGAGAGAGAGAGAGCGCGAGAGAGAATTTTTTTTTTACCAAGGATGCATTAAATTGATTCCAAAATATTCA